GCTTTTTAAAAATTTGGTCAAGTTAGTGTGGGAGAGGTGGAAAAATAATTGTTATCCATCAATAATGATAAGCCACCAGGTATAGACAACCTTGATGGGAAGCTATTGAGAATGGTAGGAGACTGTATTGCCACCCCTATTTGCTATATCTTTAACCAAAGCCTGAAGGAGTGTGTGTGTCCACAGGCGTGGAGGGAAGCTAAAGTAATTCCACTGCCTAAAAATTGTAAAGCACCTTTTGCTGGCTCTAACAGCCGCCCAATCAACTGATGGAGAGAATTGTGTTTGACCAAATACAATGCTATTTTTCAGAGAATAAGTTAACTAATGACTTTCTGCATGCATACAGAGAAGGGCAATCAATTTGTACTGCACTGACTCAGATGACTGATTGGTTAAAGTAAATGGAAAATAAGATGATAGTTGTAGCTGTATTGTTAGATTTCAGTGCAGCCTTTGATGTTATTAATCGTAAATTGTTATTGAAAAAACTCACTTGCTATGGCTTTACATCACCTGCCATCACATGGTTGGAGAGTTATTTATCCAATAGAACCCAGAGAGTGTTCTTCAATGGAAGCTTTTCTAACATCAGATACAGTGCATTTGGAAAGTATTCAGACCCCTTGACTTTTTCCACATTTTGTTATGTTACAGCCTTATTCTAAAATTGATTAAATTGTTTTTTTCCCCCTCATCAATCTACACACAATACCCCACAATGACAAAGCAGAAATGTTTGCTAAAAACTGAAATATCACATTTACAGAAGTATTCAGACCCTTTACTCAGTACTTTGTTGAAGCACCTTTGGCAGCGATTACAGCCTTGAGTCTTCTTGGGTATGATGCTACAAGCTTGGCACACCTGTATTTGGGGAGTTTCTCCTATTCTTCTCTGCAGATCCTCTCAAGCTCTGTCAGGTTGGATGGGGAGCGTCACTGCACAGCTATTTTCAGGTCTCTCCAGAGATGTTCGATTGGGTTCATGTCCGGGCTCTGGCTGGGCCACTCAAGGACATTCAGGGACTTGTCCCGAAGCCACTCCTGCGTTGTCTTGGCTGTGTGCTTAGGGTCGTTGTCCTGTTGGAAGGTGAACCTTCGCCCCAGTCTGAGTATCTGAGCGCTCTGGAGCAGGTTTTCATCAAGGATCACTCTGTACTTTGCTCCATTCATCTTTCTCTCAATCCTGACTAGTCTCCCAGTCCCTGCTGCTGAAAAACACCCCCACAGCATGATGCTGCCACCACCATGCTTCACCGTTGGGATGGTGCCATGTTTCCTCCAGACGTGACGCTTGGCATTCAGCCCAAAGAGTTCAATCTTGGTTTTATCAGACCAGAGAATCATGTTTCTCATGGTCTGAGAGTCCTTGAGGTGCCTTTTGGCAAACTCCAAGCGGCCTTTCATGTGCCTTTTACTGAGGAGTGACTTCCGTCTGGCCACTCTACCATAAAGGCCTGATTGGTGGAGTGCTGCGGACATGGTTGTCCTTCCTTAAGCTTCTCCTATCTCCACAGAGGAACTCTGGAGCTCTGTCAGAGTGACCATCGGGTTCTTGGTCACCTCCCTGACCAAGGCCCTTCTTCCCTGATTGCTCAGTTTGGCCGGGCGGCCAGCTCTAGGAAGACTTGGTGGTTCCAAACTTCTTCCATTTAAGAATGATGGAGGCCACTGTGTTCTTGGGGATCTTCAATGCTGCAGAAATTATTTGGTACCCTCCCCCAGATCTGTGCCGACACAATCCTATCTCTGTCACGTACGTTGTGTAAAGGATTGGACCAAGGTGCAGCGTGGTATGCGTACATATTTTAATTATTTAAATAAACACTTGACAAAATAACAAAAGCAACTGAACGTGAAGTTCTAAACGCTAACAGCAACAAGCCTAAACAGCATAAGAAACAAGATCCCACACCATAGGTAGGCAAAATGGCTACCTAAGTATGATCCCCAATCAGAGACAACGATCGACAGCTGCCTCTGATTGGGAACCACACCCGGCCAACATAGAAATATATAACCTAGATCTGTCAACATTCACACCCTGACCAAACTAATTAGAGAATAACAGGGTTCTCAAGGTCAGGGCGTGACAGTCTCTGAGCTCAAAGCAGGAACGGGCCGTACCGGACTAGAGACACGCAGCACCACTGGTTTGGTGCGAGGAGTAGGTACAGGGCGCACCGGGCTGACGACACGCACCACTGTTTTGGTGCGAGGAGCAGGTACGGGCCGTACAGGACTGGAGACACGCACCACTGGTTTGGTGCGAGGAGCAGGTACGGAGCGCACCGGGCTGGCGACACGCACCACTGGTTTGGTGCGAGGAGCGGGTATGCATTTTAGCCCGGCAAGAGCGGGGCGCGGGCACCAAGCGCACCGGGCTGTGAATGCGCACTGGAGATACAGTGCGTATCACAGCATAACAGGGTGCCTGTATGGTCCCACGCTCCTTAACACGAGTGCGGGGAGTTGGCTCTACTCTGAAACCTGGCTCCGCCAGCCTCTGCTCTAAGGACTGCGTTCTCTTTTGCTGTAGGGTTAACTCCTCTCTCAGCTCCTCCTGTTGTCTGGCCAGCTCCTCTCTCCGTGCATCCACTGACTCCTCCCTGTTGGCCTCCTGCAGCGCCTCCCTCTGAAGGGAGCTCTCCTGCTCTCTCTTAGCTAACAGCCCCCTTAAGGTAGTTATCTCCTCTCTCAGAGTGCTGAGCTGCATGTCTTGGAGGGCCTCTATAATAGTGGCCTCCTCTTCCTCCACAGTCAGCTCTTTCAGGGCCTCCTTCTGCTCCGTGTGCACCCCCCCCAACATTTTCTTGGGGCTGCCTCTCGTGCTTCCTTCGCGGTCGGCACCGTCGGCGTCGCCGTTGATCTTCTCCTGCCTGGGCTTCTTCCTTCGCCCAGGGTCCTTTACCGGCTAATATCTCCTCCCATGTCCAAAATGTCTTCCCCACCTGTGTCCAGGGTGTCTGCTCCTCCTGGCCACGCTGCTTGGTCCGTTGGTGGTGGGATCATCTGTCATGTACATTGTGTAAAGGATTGTACCAAGGTGCAGCGTGGTATGCGTACATGTTTTAATTATTTAAATAAACACTTGACAAAATAACAAAAGCAACTGAACGTGAAGTTCTAAACGCTAACAGCAACAAGCCTAAACAGCATAAGAAACAAGATCCCACACCATAGGTAGGCAAAATGGCTACCTAAGTATGATCCCCAATCAGAAACAACGATTGACAGCTGCCTCTGATTGGGAACCACACCCGGCCAACATAGAAATATATAACCTAGATCTGTCAACATTCACACCCTGACCAAACTAACTAGAGAATAACAGGGTTCTCAAGGTCAGGGCGTGACAGTCTCTGAGCTCTACGGACAATTCCTTCGAACTCATGGCTTGGTTTTTACTTATTTTTTGCTCTGACATGCACTGCCAACAGTGGGACCTTATATAGACGTGTGTGCCTTTCCAAATCATGTCCAATCAATTGAATTAACCACAGGTGGACTCCAGTCAACTTGTAGAAAAATCTCAAGGATGATCAATGGAAACTGGATGCACCTGAGCTCAATTTCGAGTCTGAATACTTATGTAAATAAGGTATTTCTGTTTTAGTTTTTTTATACATTTGCAAACATTTCTAAAAACCTGTTTTCGCTTTGTCATTATGGGGTATTGTGTGTAGATTGATGAGTTGCTTTGGGCCGTTACTCTTCTCTATTTTTACAAATGATTTGCCACTGGTCTTACACGAGAGATTAACTGCTTCTCTTTTAGTTTGTATGAGAAATATTACTATGATGAAAATTCCAGATTGTCTGCATAATCAAATAACTTACAGCTCAGACAGCCATACCTACCCCACAAGACATGCCACCATGGGTCTCTTCACAGTCTCCAAGTCCAAAACGAATTCACAGCAATGTATGATCGCATGGAACTCCTTTCTATCTCCATTTTCTCAAGAAAACAGTAGTAGCATTATGCAAATCAGGGAGCCAAATTAATGGCTCTTTCACCGATGCCATTCGGTTCCCAACATTCACTAAAAATAGCCCTTCAAAACAAGCCATTTTTCGATGATGACTCATCACTAGTCCCGGCTTCCTCCGGGCTCTGTCCCATTTCGACCCCTAGACCCTTCCCCAGGGCCGGATTACCGACCGGTGTTAAGATACTGATGGTTTGTCGAGACTGATGGTTTGTACAGTTGTGGCTACCAGTACAGCTCCATCTAGATGTCGCGTTGGGGATAACAGTTGTTGACAACTGTAGCATTTTAGCTAAGCTTAACCCTAACCCTTTTCTTAATCTTAACCTCATTCTCATAACCTGCTATGTTAATTATCCTAACCTGCCACATTAGTTCTCCTAACCTGTCATGTTAGTTCTCCTAACCTGTCACGTTAGTTCTCCTAACCTGCTATGTAAACAAACCACCAGTGCCAACAAACCATCAGTATCACCACACAGGGCATGCAGGGGCCCCCCAGATAGCATATGAACACATCAGTTGAGGGCCCCCTGGAGGTTGGGGACTGCCCAGATAGCATATGAACAGGTCAGTTGAAAACCTCAACAATATGACTGTAAGTCGCTTTGGATAAAAGCGTCTGCTAAATGGCATATTATTATTATTATTATAACAAATTCGGCTGTGGGGTTGTGGAGGTAGGTGCCCTGGGGGCCCAAATGTGGTAGTCCGGCCCTGCCCTTCCCATTGAACTAGTGATTGTGAAATGTAGTCGAATAGGGCGATGTGCAAGGTTCATCAGACTGTACCAATGTAAAAGGAGGATTTGCTCACAGGCGCACATCAAGTGCACAATATCTAGGCTATGATATAGCCACTCTAGGCCTAATTAAAATGTAGCATTTATGTAGGCCTTTTAGAAACTGACGCTCGGTTACGGGTTGGCTATGTCTCGTAACTAGGTGACGTCAGCTCTAACCATCGACGATGAAATGTGCAGGTGAACACGGGATAAACACATGAACCAAAAGCAAGAAGGGAGGAGAGCAAAATTATCTGGCGAACATAATTTCTGAATGGTGGGATGAAGATTTATTTACGGATAAATTGCGTGCTATGCTATCGGATTTAAGAACCCATACAGCTGCATCAGGAGGTATAGCCTAAATTGCCTATCAAATAATAACGCGACGTCTCTCTTGCGACTTATTTCCTCCCATCATTCTTCCCCGCTCGATAGTCCATGTTGGCGCCAATGGAGTGACCCAATGGAGCGACTATAGAGAAGGCTACTGTAGAGAAGTAGGCTAGGCGACAGCAATAAATTAGCAATACACCCACATGTGGCACTGGTGACTTAACGGACACCCGAGAAACAACACCAGAAAATAGGTATTTTTTTTCACTGTCCTTGATCGTGTGACAAGACCCGTAGTATAGGATCGAATCAAGCCGTTCGTGCAATGGTAGGTGGTGCGGTAATAACCTACCAGGGGGATGCTTGATGCTCGAAGACGTTTGCTTTTGGAGGATCGTATTCATACATGGGGCTTGAGTTGTCATGTGGGGCGGTCCCGACTCTGGACCCCCTGATCGTGGGAGTCTCGGCCAGATCCCGATGCTCACGGTCAAATCGTAGCTTGTGAGGAACAAAAGAATGCCTACGGTGAACGTCACCGGAGAAGCGCCCCTACTGAACGGGGGCAGAAGAGAAGAGGTAGAGCGTTGGTATAGGTTAGGTTGTTTGGGAAGTGTTTGTGTGTGCTCGCGCGCGCCCGCACCTGCGTGTGTAATTGTGTATTGTTGGACGCTAGTGCATAGGTAGCTTCGTCTCGCAACTAGGCATTTATATTAATATTTAAATTAACGATTCTGAATTTTACTGTATTGTTTACAGATTCATAGTGCCTAGTTGTGGGACGAAACTACTGCATAGGCTACTGTATACAGGCTAATAAGATGAACATTTTCAGGCCCATATAGAATGTGCGATTGCAGGAATATTTAATCCATATCATATTAGGTCTGCACTGCATGGAAAGCTCAAGCTAATATGTTACTCAGCCTCAGTTACCAGTCTACTGTAATCAGGGCAGCTCACTCAGTTACCCACTTACTAACCAACATGTTGAGCACAAACAGACCTCTGCATCTCTGGTGGGTCCGAGTTATAGCAGAGTCCCAGTAGGCTACAAGAGACGAGATCAGTCACGTTCTTATTTTTAGTGCGTGTATTTTACAAGGTTACTTGAAGAGTCACCCCTAACTAATGGAGGGACGCAACTGCATTGCAGTCGAAGTGGAGGTGAACGATTTAGCTCCCCCTCATCTATTTGCTGGACCATATGAATGCGACATACAACTGATTGATAATATCATTAATTATTAAACTCCTCATAATCATGATTAGGACACTGATCTTCTCTGGGGATTACTTATTATAATGAAGGGTATAGCATAAGGCCACATTATAGTCTAAGATCACTAATTATGGTCTGTCTGAGTAGTAGTCCTCAGAGTTGCTGAGCTATAACCTCAGATCTTATGTTACAGGGTGATCGATAAAAGAGAGACAGAGATGGAGATTGTGCAAAAAGTGGAGAGCACTATTGAGTTTTGATAATGATTGTATTATACTGACACATCCATATCAATGCTCTTAAGTGGGCCTGTTTACATAAGCAACATGTCTCATGTTATAATGCCCTACTTTCCCATGAGCATGGTTGATATGTGCACATCTGATGTCAAGATGTCCTGTCAGGGTAAATCAGCACACATCTGTGTGTGGTAATATGCTTTTTTGGGGGGTTACATTTCTACTTGAGGGGCCGGTTGAGTGAAACTGCTCTATATTTACCTACATAAACCCACTATCTATCTCTCTCTCTGTTGTTGCATCAGGATATGTTACATTTTGGGGGATTTATTTCTATAACAAGAAATAAATCCCCCCTCTTTATTGATCTGCCCGGTACCATTCCTCGTTTTCAGGCTGGTCTCATAGACTAGGCGTAACATAGTAATAGAAAATTCAGGACACTCAAATTAGTATGATATGTTACAATTGGTATGGTTACATAAGACAGAAGGTCACTTAAGGCTAAAACAAAAGGAGGGTGGGTGGTTGGTTGGATGGATTGGGGGGTTGGTGGCATATACAGTACCAGTCAAAAGTTTGGACACACCTACTCATTCCAGGGTTTTGCTTTATTTTTACTATTTTCTACATTTACATTTACATTTACATCATTTAGCAGACGCTCTTATCCAGATTGTAGAATAATAGTGAAGACATCAAAACTATGAAATAACACATATGGAATCATCAAGTGTTAAACAAATCAAAATATATTTTATGTTTGAGATTCTTCAAATAGCCACTCTTTGTCTTGATGACAGCTTTGCACACTCTTGGCATTCTCTCAACCAGCTTCACCTGGAATGCTTTTCCAACAGTCTTGAAGGAGTTCCCACATATGCTGAGCACTTGTTGGCTGCTCTTCCTTCACTCTGCCGTCCGACTCATCCCAAACCATCTCAATTGGGTTGAGGTCGGGTGATTGTGGAGGCCAGGTCATCTGATGCAGCACTCCATCACTCTCCTTCTTGGTCAAATAGCCCTTACACAGCCTGGAGGTGTGTTGGGTCATTGTCCTGTTGAAAAACAAATGATAGTCCCACTTAGCCCAAACCAGATTGAATGGCGTATCGCTGCAGAATGCTGTGGTAGCCATGCTGGTTAAGTGTGCCTTGAATTCTAAATAAATCACAGACAGTGTCACCAGCAAAGCACCCCCACACCATAACACCTCCTCCTCCATGCTTTACGGTGGGAACTACACATGCGGAGATCATCCGTTCACCCACACCGCTTCTCACATAGACACGGCAGTTGGAACCAAAAATCTCCAATTTGGACTCCAGACCAAAGGACAAATTTCCACAGTCTAATGTGCATTGCTCGTTTTTCTTGGCCTAAGCAGGTCTCTTCTTCTTATTGGTGTCCTTTAGTAGTGGTTTCTTTGCAGCAATTCGACCATGAAGGCCTGATTCACACAGTCCCCTCTGAACAGTTGATGTTGAGATGTGTCTGTTACTTGAACTCTGTGAAGCATTTATTTGGCCTGCAATTTCTGAGGCTGGTAACTCTAATGAACTTATCCTCTGCAGCAGAGGTAAAGCTGGGTCTTCCTTTCCTGTGGCAGTCCTCATGAGAGCCAGTTTCATCATAGCGCTTGATGTTTTTTGCGACTGCACTTGAAGAAGCTTTCAAAGTTCTTGAAATGTTCCGTATTGACTGACCGTCATGTCTTAAAGTAATGATGGACTGTTGTTTCTCTTTGCTTATTTGAGCTGTTCTTGCCATAATATGGACTTGGTCTTTTACCAAATAGGGCTATCTTCTGTACCTTGTCTACCTTGTAACAACACAACTTATTGGCTCAAATGCATTAAGAAGTAAAGAAATTCCACAAATTAACGTTTAAGAAGGCACACCTGTTAATTGAAATGCATTCAAGGTGACTACCTCATGAAGCTGGTTGAGAGAATGCCAAGAGTGTGCAAAGCTGTCATCAAAGGCAAAGGGTGGCTATTTGAAGAATAGCCACACTTTTTTGGTTACTAAATGATTCCATATGTGTTATTTCATAGTTTTGATGTATTCACTATTATTCTACAATGTAGAAAATAGTAAAAATAAAGAAAAACCTTTGAATGAGTAGGTGTGTCCAAACTTTTGACTGGTAGTGTAAGTCTTGCAATCCAAAGGTTGCGTGTTTGAATCTCATCATGGACAACGTGAGCATTTCAGCTAATTAGCAACTTTGCAACTACTTACCATGTTAGCTAACCCTAATCTAGCCACCTAGCTAACGTTAGCCACAACAAATTGTAATTCGTAACATAACATACAAAATGGATGATGGACATCCAGAAATTAATACATACCATACCAAACGTAACATTTCATACTAATTTGAGTATTGCATATTTTCGTTTACTATGTTACGTCCAACCCTGAGTCCAGGTTGTCATTTTGGCTACTTGCTTTGATAGTTGATAGGTGGATATGTTGCCCTTGTCCTTATGATTGTAAGAAGGAGCAAAAATGACTTTCCTACTGAAGTAGTTTCTCTAATTCTGCAACAGTGTTACAACAGAAGTAGTTTCATAGTGCTAATGTCAATATGGAGTGGAAGGAAAAGCAATCAAGTGGGAGAGAAATAGCACAGTGGAAAAAACATGATGTTTTAACCATTTTCAAACATCATGTATAGTAAACTACCCATCCCTCTCTCATTCTCTCCCCCTCCCTTCATCTCTTCCTCTCTAATTGCCTTTAAGTGGGGGATGAGTGCGGAGTTGACTCATCATTAATATAGATAGACAGACACACACAACATCTGTAATAAGTGAGCAATTGAGGCACTTAACTCTAGGTTCATGGTGAACTGAAATGGTCTCTCCCATTGACTCAGCGTGCTCCCTTGTCCTTGTAATGCAGTCACAATGAAACCCCTGCACCTCTGCCAACAGGAACACACCTTCTCACAGCTACCGTTTGGACATCAGCCTGCCTTTTAGGAAAACAAACCTTCCCTGCAAGGGCACTGTCATGGCTGCGAGAGGCCCATTTGACTGCTTAAAAAATTAAGCAGATAGACAGATACTCTGAGCTCAGCAATTATCTATCTGTATCTCTGTCTTTGTTTGCCTTTTGGTTATTTTCAATGCTCTTTGTGTGGCCAAGAGTGTCACTGCATGTTTCGCTCTTCCACTTTGCTCACTGTCCATGTGCATCCTCCCATGGGGAGCATGAATGGCCATAGTACCACTAACCTCCACTGGCAAAAGAAAGCGGAATGCACTCTCCTTCTTTCTCGCTGTTGATGAGGTTTAAAAGCATCAGCCTCATCCAGTGTCCACTAAAACCAAGTGTTTAAAAGGGGCTGCATGGTTTGGGTTTCACTCTGCCTGGAAATGTGTCCATGCCTCCAGAGACTGGAATGGTCCATCTCTGGAAGAGCAGGGGAGCGCGACAGGACAACATTGATGTTTGTTAATGTTGTTTGACATAAAAGCCATTGTGATTAATGCCCAATCATCTGTATTCTTATGGAATACACTTTAATATATATTCTGTTTTTTTCTGTTTCTGTTTCTTGCAGAAAAATCCAGTTTTAACACCCTTTCCTTGTTTTTTTGCCTCTCCCATTGTATGTCCTTCAATCCTGTTCCTCTGCTTTTTATCTCCCCTCATACGAGTCATAATGTTTGATGTTTTATCATCATTAAAACTCCATTCCCACCACTTACGCAAAACATTTTTCAATGTCCTTTTCACATCCCTTCCTTTGCCCAACTTTTAACCTGTGCTCCTGATCCCATCACTCAAACTCGGTTACCTTACTCATTTATAAAATCTCAACCAACTTTCTACCCATATTTGTACCCAACCCTCCATCCCCCCACCATCTGCTTTACCTTGTCTCTTATCCCTTCCCCCCTGTAGCAACGTCCCTGTAAACAGACCCTTCCCGGGTCCCTATGCCGAGAGTCCCACTGGAAATGCCTGCTCCTCACGCTGCTGATGTTCTGCTGTTTCGCCACGCTGGGATGGTGCTCCTTCTACCGCGTCACTGTCATGGCTGCCGATGAACACGGCCTCTACTACGGCGTCCGTGCCCGCCTCTACCATGACAGCCCCTGCTCCAACGGCTACGTCTACATCCCGGTGGCCTTCCTGATCATGCTGTACCTGGTCTACCTGGTGGAGTGCTGGCACTGCTTCTCTAAAACATCCGCACTGACCAGGGTGAGGATCAGCAAGGTGTACAACAGGGTCCAGAGGCTGCAGCAGGCCATGCCCTGTATCTGGTGGAAGGCCATCAGCTATCACCATGTGAGACGGACACGGCAGGTGACTCGATACCGCAATGGCGATGCTTACACCACCACACAGGTGTACCATGAGCGGGTCAATACACATGCATCCAGCTCTGAATTTGACTATGCCCGACATGGTGTCAAGGACGTATCCAAGGAGCTGCTTGGCCTTCTGGAACACCCGGCCGTACGCCTTCATTTCACCAAATGTTTCAGCTTTGCCAGTGCCCGTGCCGAGGCTGCCTACCTCACTCAGCGCGCCCGCTTCTTCGCAGAGAACGAGGGTCTGGATGACTATATGGAGGCGCGGGAGGGCATGCACCTGAAGAACGTGGACTTCCGTGAGCACATGCTAGCCTTTCCTGACCCGGCGTGGCCACCCTGGTTCTCTCGTCGGCGCATGTATTGGTTGATCTCAGCCCTGATGTTGTCCTGGCCACTACGTGTGGTGTCAGAGTACCGCACAGCATATGTTCACTACCATGTGGAGAAGCTGTTTGGTGAGAATGAGGAAGTCAATGACAATGACAGCACTGAGATGGGCAACTACCGCTCAGGCCAGGAGAATGGGCAACGCGGTGGCCCCAGATTACGTGTCATATCGAGGGTCAACACTGTGGACATCACTGAACTGGAGTGGCACATTCGCTGTAACCAGCAGATGGTGCCCAGTTACTCCGAGGCCTTGCTGATGGACCTGAACACCAATAACACAACCTCTTTGCCTTCTGCGTTCACCGGGGCAGCACGTGTCCCTATGAGGCGGAGCTCCAGCTACGTCCTCCAGAGCTGCCCACGCTGCTGCAGGTCCACCAGCAGCTCCTCGCTCCCCTCGCGAGTCAGGGGGAACGTGGTAATGGGGGCGGGATCTTTGACATATGGGACAGTGGGAAGGATGGGAGGAGGAAGGCTAGCCCTCAGCCGCAGTGGATTCTCTCTGGGCCGTTTGCACACGGTGCGCCAGGCCTGCCTGTTTCACTCCCGGAGCCTTGGTGCAGGGATGGGGAGTCGAGGGGACGAAGGTGGTGGGTTTCTGGGGCTGGGCCTCCGCCGGGCTAACGAAGAGAGCAGAGGGGTCCTGGAGTCAGAAGGATATGAAGAGGACGAGAATAGTCTTCAGCTAGAGGAGGATAGAGAGCAGGAACTAGAGAGAGTGAGGGCTGAGATCATACAGGGAGTGGCCTGTGTGACAGAGACACCACCAGCCTATCAGGAAGCTCTCCACTTGCCTGTGTTGATCATCCATGGTGAGGAGAGCTGTCATGGAGGGGAGGACCTTGACGCAGGATAGTCACTGTGATTGGCAAAGGTGATGTACAGTAGAGCAGATAAGTAAATCTGCTCAGGATGATGCAATAAATTAGAGAGAGAGAGTAGAGGAAAGGAAAACAGGGATGGAGGAAAAATGTGTAGCGATATAGAAAGGGTTGTTAAAGAGAGGGGTACGGAAGGAGAAAGAAAATAAATGGTAAAATCATGGTTTCCAGACCTGCGAGAAAGCAGTACTGTTAACAAAATGTGTAGGAAAACAAAACTATTGTGTCACAGTAGATTAAATGACAATTATGTAGTTGCTCTTCCTAAAGAGACTGTGTAATATGTGTGTCCCATTGTCCACAATGAACAACAATCGCTTTGTACCTTTGTTCATGAATGTACGGAAGTATCAAGGAGCTGCTGAGTTAGCACTTTACATCAGGAGTAGTTCATTTTCCACCAAGCTATTAGATTAATTCAAGGGGCACTATATAATGTGTAAACTTACAGAACTCCCTGTTAGAAGTGGAGCAGAACTCTCATGCCAATAAAAAAGTGATTACCATTCCACAAAGAGAGTATAGTAATAAGATTTGATATTAATTTGAGATGTTAAATAATACATTTAACCAATACTCTGTAGTAGTGATGAGGCTTATGTCACCTGCTCGCCTTCCTCGAGATCATGCAGATCCAAGAGGCCAACAATATTGTCCATGATATGACATCAGAGATATAGTAAATCCTTTTTTAAGAGTTATATGCACATATGGCTATGATTGAGCAAAGATGCAGTAGTAGCTAATTTATGAGAAACGTCATGATTTTTTAAGAATGCAGAATGGTATACATTAACACAAAGGATTGTTTATGTACGACCCACAAGACCTTGAACAGGCATGTCCTTTTTGCTCAGCCTTGTGACTCCCTGTCAGATGAAAACATTAATTTGCCCCCTCACAGACAACAGGAATGTGGAGAAAGACATACTTTCACATTTTTGACATGGATCAGGGGGAACAGGAGATGGATGATGATGAAATAGAGAGAGTTATGGAGAGAGCAATTGTCCCATTTTATGCTTGTAAGATTATTCCTTTAATAAATAAAAAATCCCTCTCAGCAATTTGTCCTTCACCACAATTCTAAAGGGGTTTTCCCATGTCTCAGTTCTGCCTACTGTTGTAATTATACATCATGGTCAAGTATGGATTTAATGCAGTAGAGTACATACTCACACTGACACTCACACTACCCCAACGCCCCACCCCCCACTCAGCTGATGCCATTAGGAGCACCATATGTGATTGATGCTCAGAAGGCTTGGGACCAGAGCCAAAAACAGAGTTTTACCTGGAATTAGGAATTCAAGCAAAATTCTAAATGCAATATTTATTTCAAGAAATGTATTATCTACCTTTTATTCTGATAATCAAACAACATACCGACAGCACATCATTGGCATAACGCACAGTATGCTTTGCTCAAGTACAACAATACAATTACAGATGGACACACCAATAAAAACACTGTCAACACTCGTTGCCTCTGATTGGGAGTCACTCTGGCCAACATAGAAATAAACACAACAGAAAGAACACACCCTGGCTCAACATATAGAGTCCCAGAGCCAGGGTGTGACAGTACCCCCCCCTAAAGGCGCGGACTGCGACCGCGCCTCAACTTGAACAAAACAGGGGAGGGCTGGGTGGGCATTCCTCCTCGGCGGCGGTTCTGGCTCCGGCCTTGCCCACCACCCTCCAATAAACCCCCCATAGCGCCCCTGGTCCAGTCTGGCCCCGCTGGCTGGAGCGGAACTGGACGCAGCAGGAGCGGTTAGCTTCAGCTCCGTAGTGGAGCAGTTGACCGGTACCTTACCAGGCACCGGTGACCCAGGCACGGGTTGTGCTGGACTGACGACGCGCACCCCTGGCTTGGTGCGTGGAGGAGGAACGGGCCTTACCAGGCTGACGACGCGCACCCCTGGCTTGGTGCGTGGAGGAGGAACGGGCCTTACCAGGCTGACGACTCGCACCCCTGGCTTAGTGCGAGTAGCAGGAACAGGCCGGGCCGGGCTGGCGACGCGCACCCCTGGCTTGGTGCGTGGAGCCGGAACGGGCCGGACCGGGCTGACGATGCGCACCCCTGGCTTGGTGCGTGGAGGAGGAACGGGCCTTACCAGGCTGACGACTCGCACCCCTGGCTTGGTGCGTGGAGGAGGAACGGGCCTTACCAGGCTGACGACGCACACCGTAGGCTTGGTGCGTGGAGCAGGGACAGGCTGGGCTGGCGACGCACCCCGTAGGCTTGGTGCGTGGAGCAGGGACAGGCCGGGCTGGGCTGGCGACGCACACCGTAGGCTTGGTGCGTGGAGCAGGGACAGGCCGGACCGGGCTGGCGACGCACACCGTAGGCTTGGTGCGTGGAGCAGGGACAGGCCGGGCTGGGCTGGCGACGCACCCCGTAGGCTTGGTGCATGGAGCAGGGACAGGCCGGGCTGGGCTGGCGACGCACACCGTAGGCTTGGTGCGTGGAGCAGGGACAGGCCGGGCTGGGCTGGCGACGCACACCGTAGGCTTGGTGCGTGGAGCAGGGACAGGCCGGACCGGGCTGGCGACGCACACCGTAGGCTTGGTGCGTGGAGCAGGGACAGGCCGGACCGGGCTGGCGACGCACACCGTAGGCTTGGTGCGTGGAGCAGGGACAGGCCGAACCGGGCTGTGGAGACGGATAGGAGACCTGGAGTGAAGAGCGGCCACAACCCGTCCTGGCTGAATGCCTACCTTCACACACTCTGTGTGAGGCATCCGCACAGGACGTACAGGGCTGTATACCCGTACTGGCATACCAGCACGTGACACTGGAGCAGGATATCCGGGACCGCGGAGAGGCATTGGAGACCACGAGCGTTGAGCCGGCACACTCCGTCCTGGCTGCATACCCACCTTCGCACGACACGTGCGGGGTGCTCGCACAGGACGTACAGGACTATGCCGGACCACTCGTGGCACAGTACGCCGCTCCGCATACCGCGGAACCTGCCCCGTCCCATGCTGCCATGCCTGAGTACGGGAAGTTGGTTCCGCTCTCCATCCAGGCTCCGCCAACCTGCCTTCTGGCCCCCCTAACCCGGTGGCCTCCTCTCCAAATCGCCCTGTGGCAGCCTCCTGCTGCCCAGCCGCCCATGCCGTGTGCCCCCCCCTAAAAATGTTTTGGGGTTGCCTCTCGTCCGTCCGACGATGACACTGCTGACGCCGCTGCTCCTCTCTCGCCAGGGCCTTAATCCTAGCCCAAGGTCCCTTGCCCCCGAGCATGTCCTCCCAGGACCACGATTTGCCCACCTGGGCCATCGCCAAACTCTCCATCTCCTTTCCCGGCGCTTCCTCCCATGTCCAGTCCAAGATCTGCCCCTGGACACGCTGCTTGGTCCTTGTAAGGTGGGTTCTTCTGTCACGATCGTCGTAGGGAATAGACCAAGGCGCAGCGTGATGAACGAACATGTTTAAACTTTATTATCTTTAGTGATAATAGACAACAATCCAGGTAAAACAGCATGCTAAGACACACTTCTTTACATCAGCATACACACATGCTAGTAGGTGCACAAATTATTAAGCATAATAATAACAGTAAAATGATCAATGGTAGTGAATGTGGACTGACATTTCAAAGAATGGCCATGTAAACATTTACAAGTATGAAGATATTGACATGGTCGAGGACAGAGGTACCGAACAACTAAATGTGTTGGGTGACTCAACTCAATCCCATCAACACTCTAAAACCACACCTTATCTTGAAAAGACTCCTGCATGTATTCATTCTGCTGTATCTAATGTGTTACCAATACAAATTCAAATTGTTGTTGATGAACATGATGATGATTATGATGGTGTTGGTGGTACAGAAGCACTAATAAAGTAGGTCTGAATATATCTACATGTTCTGGGAACTGATAATAATGCTCTCTATATTGACTGAGAATCACAATGCAATCTATTTTATACTACCGGTATATGGGAAAGAACATCTCCCCCTAGTGACAAGTACAGTACCTGTTTGAAATAGCATGAGGCCTACTGTGGCCGTTGTTGTAACCAGTGTTGTTGTACCTACACATTGTAACCAGATTTATATATATATTTTAAAGAATTAGAAGTGTTGGTTTTGGTTCTCACTAATTCCATGCATGACTGTCTGCATGCAAGCAAAGCGACCAATCTCATTTCATTTGGCTCCTACTCTCCCTCCCTCCTACACCAAGCTGGTTTTAAAGGGCTAAGCACCCGTCACATTTCATATGACAAATGAAAGTCTGCACATCAACTGCATGGGAATCTACCAGTAATTGTTAAGTATAAAGTACAAACAATTCAGGTGAAGAGGAGAGAAGAAACTGCTGCAGCACATGTTCCATTTGCAGATGTGAGCATTTTCACACTGTAAGTGGCCCTTCCAAGTTTATAGACATACATACAGTATTATGAGTTTGTATAAATCAGAGCAAAATGTTTAAACTCTGAAAGCAAAACGTTGTACTATGCAGTTATGCAATAACTTTGGTGACCACAATGTAATTATAATGCAATTCTGCAGGTAGTTATACTGAAATATTATGTTTTATTGTCACACACAACGTGTTATCCACAAATTACTTTGGCTTCACTTATGACGCCAGATGTAAAACTGTCATTTTGTGGTTAAGAAAGTATCTGAGTGGTGGAAATGTGTTGCCTGATGTTAATAGCGCTGTAGGGGAGAGATACGCTCCACAGTAAGCTGCTTGCAGACGTCTCATGGGCTGATGAATTAGACTGATGCTGCCGTCATGAACATTTCAGTATTTATTAACATTTACAGTAGGGTGGCTGAAATCTTATCAAGTGGTTTTAAGATAGTGTTGAATCACTAAGCTACACCTTGGTGCAAATCCAAGTAGGATGTTTTATGCTCTACTTTGGTTGTTGCCAGATCAGTGTGTGTGTGTGTGTGTATCCTTAGTGATTTTTCCTTCAATATTATACTTTCCCCCAGCCCATACAATGTCTCAGGAGCAGGTGAATTCCGTTTTGAACAACATGTAGAGCCTGTTGGCAGAGGCAGCGCGGCTAAGGAGCGAGTATCATGAGCAGAGCACCCAGTTGGCCCTAGTGATAGCTCAGCAGGGGGAAGAGGGCCAGGGCCTGGGCCAGCAGATAGAAGCTAGACATGTTTAACATACGCAGGCTGCTGGAGCAGCTCCTGGACACCAAGGCCGCCATTGAAGCAAAAGAAAGACAAGCTCGCAAACTCAGCAAGCAACTGTAAGAGATTGAGAGGAAGAGGGAGTGAAGAAGAGGGCAGTGAGGAGAGGGATGGATTGATGGTGAGAGGAGGGACAGAATGTAGCAGTGAGGAGAGGGATGGATTGATGGTTAGAGGAGGGACAGAATGTAGCAGTGAGGAGAGGGATGGATTGATGGTTAGAGGAGGGACAGAATGTAGCAGTGAGGAGAGGGATGGATTGATGGTTAGAGGAGGGACAGAATGTAGCAGTGGTTGGGAATGGAGATTTACTGTAGTTAATACCATTTATAAAGGTTGTGATGGAGTGAATCTGGAACAATGTTTTTTATTCATTTGCAAACCTTTTTGTCATAAAATGTTCCCATGGTAACTCATATTCAGTACTAGAAAATAACTATTAACAATGTAACTGTACTTCATTAATATAGCAAGGACAGATTTTGTTTTGACAAAAACATATGTTACACTTCACAGGAAATATTTGTCTTTCACAGCTGTTACATCAATCAGTGCAGTATACATTGAGCAGGTCATCTTATGTAACAGGAAGGGACTGAATTGTGTAACTAATTAGTTAAACTGATAAGTATACAAAAATGGAAGAAATTACTTCCAATGTTAATTGTACTATTCCGACTATTCCAAAGGGAAAACACATTGTAGTTAGGGTGCCCCATTGATGGCCTAAATTAGAGGTTATAATGCCTTTAATGTCAGTACGGAGCGGCTTTATTAAAAGGAATCTTAGTTTGATATATTTAATAAAAGTACTTATCCAAATGAATTGGGGCCAATTCAGCTAAATTAAGTAAAACGTTGTCACGACTTCCTCCGAAGCTGCCACCCCTCCTTGTTCGGGCAGGCTTCGGTGTTCATCGTCACCGGCCTTCTAGCCACTGCCGGTCCATATATCATCATTCATACCGGAAGTGGTCGATGAGGGCCCGCTCCTTCCACCCGGACCCAGCTGCTAGAGTCCGGAACTCCAAGGCGAAGTCCTGCGCAGTCCTCGTCTCCTGCCTCTCGGGGAAAGCCCTGGAGTGGGCCAACGCGGTCTGGAACGAAGGAGGAGCCACGTTGGACAACTATGGGGAGTTCGCTCGCCTCTTTCGGGCTGTCTTCGATCACCCGCCTGAGGGTCGGGAGGCGGGCGAGCAGCTGGTCCACCTGAGGCAGGGGACGAGGACTGCCCAGGACTTCGCCTTGGAGTTCCGGACTCTAGCAGCTGGGTCCGGGTGGAACGAGCGGGCCCTCATCGACCACTTCCGGTGCCATCTGCGGGAGGATGTCCGAAAGGAGCTAGCCTGCCAGGACACCATGTTGTCCTTCACACAACTGGTGGACATGGCCATCTGCTTGGACAACCTGCTGGCGGCCAGAGGACGTCCTGGAGGGGGTCGGCCCATTCCAACCCCGCCCGACTTGGATCCCGAGCTGATGGAGCTGGGTGGAGTGGCGATGAGAAAGAGCGGAAGATGACAGCGCCAGTGTCACTCTGGTGGCACGAAGGGACATTACACCGCACAATGTCGTCAGCGTTCTTTTGGGTCTGGAGATGGCAGGCAGGGCACTCTCGCATCACCCCAGGTATCGAACACCCACACTCTTTCAGAGCCCTCTGCTGCGCACTGTATCCTACCCATCTACTTTCCTGATCACATGGTAGTTCCCCAGTGTAAGGCGCTAGTCGATTCAGGCGCAGCTGGGAACTTTATGGACAGGACATTCTCACACAGTCTAGGCATTTCATTGGTTCCCCTATCCATTCCACTCCCCATCAGAGCACTTGATAGTCGACCATTAGGGTCCGGGTTTGTTAGGGAAGTTACAGCACCAGTCACCATGATTACCCACGAGACTCATTGTGAGCAAGTCACTTTCTTTATTATTGAGTCTCCTGCTTTCCCTGTGGTATTAGGTATCCCTTGGTTAGCACTCCACAACCCCACCTTCTCATTGCCGCAGAGGGTTCTCACGGGGTGGTCGCGAGAGTGTCAGGGTAGGTGTCTAGGTGTTTCCGTTGGTGCAACCACGGTGGAAAGTCCAGACAGTACCTCCACCGTGAGCATTCCCCCCGAATACCTCGATTTGGCGTACGTGTTTTCCAAAACGCAGGCGACTAAGTTACCACCTCATCGGGCGGGGGATTGCGCGATAAACCTCCGGGTAGACGCTATGTTTCCCAGGAGTCATGTGTATCCCCTGTCACAGGCTGAAACGGAGGCTATGGAAACATACGTCACCGAGTCCCTGCGCCAGGGGTTTATATGTCCCTCCACTTCGCCCGCCTCCTCAAGTTTCTTTTTTGTGAAGAAGAAAGACGGCGGTCTGCGCCCTTGCATTGATTATCGATCACTGAACAAGGAGACGATACGATTCAGTTATCCTCTCCCCCTCATTCCTTCAGTGATCGAAGGCAGAGAAGTGTCTGTTTTTCCAGCAGTCCGTCTCCTTCCTCGGATACCGCATTACCACCTCAGGTGTGGAGATGGAGTGAGATCGCATTTCAGCCGTGCGTAATTGGCCGACTCCAACCATGGTTAAGGAGGTGCAGCACTTTCTTGGCTTCGCCAACTACTATCGGAGGTTTATCCGGGGGTTTGGCAAGGTCGCAGCTCCCATTACATCTCTGTTGAAGGGGGGGCCATCCCGGCTCCACTGGTCTGCTGAGGCTGACAGGGCTTTCAGTAACCTGAGGGGTCTGTTCACCTCAGCCCCGGTACTGGCCCACCCCAAACCATCACTATCGTTCGTAGTGGAGGTGGATGTGTCCGAGGTAGGGATAGGCGCTATCCTATCTCAACACTCGGGCACGCCACCCAAGCTCCGCCCATGTGCCTTCTTCTCTAAGAAGCTCAGCCCGGTGGAGCAGAACTACGTCGTTGGTGATCGGAGCTGTTGGCTGTTGTCCGAGCCCTGACCGTGTGGAGGCATTGGCGCGAAGGGGCGAAACACCCTTTCCTCGTCTGGACAGACCACCGTAACCAGGAGTACATCCGGGCAGCGAGGAGGCTGAATCCTCGCCAGGCCAGGTGGGCCCTATTATTCACCCGGTTTGATTTCACACTATCATACATCCCAGGTACGAAGAACGTGAAGGCAGACGCATTGTCACGGCTGTATGACACAGAGGAGAGGCCCAGAGACAACACCCCCATACTCCCGGCCTCCTGCATTGTGGCGCCGGTAGTATAGGCGATGGACGCGGATATAGAGCAGGCATTACGCACAGAGCCATCTCCACCTCAGTGTCCAACTGGGCTGCAGTATGTGCCTGCTCTTATCCGTGATCGTCTGATCTACTGGGCACACACGTCACCCTCCTCTGGTCATCCAGGTATCGGTCGTACAGTGCGCTGCCTGACCGGAAAGTACTGGTGGCCTACCTTGGCTAAGGACGTGAGGGTGTATGTCTCCTCCTGCTTGGTGTGCGCCCAGAATAAGGCACCTAGGCACCTCCCAGCGGGTAAGTTACAACCTTTACCAGCTCCACAACGACCATGGTCTCACCTGAGTGTTGATTTCCTGACTGATCTTCCCCTCTCCCAAGGTAACACCACCATCCTGGTCGTTGTGGACCGCTTTTCCAAGGCCTGCCGCCTCCTTCCTCTGCCCGGTCTCCCCACGGCCCTGCAAACTGTGGAGGCCCTGTTTACACACGTCTTCCGGCACTACGGGGTACCAGAGGATATAGTGTCTGACCGAGGTCCCCAGTTCACATCCAAGGTCTGGAAGGCGTTCATGGAACGTCTGGGGGTCTCGGTCAGCCTGACCTCTGGTTTCCACCCCGAGTCTAATGGGCAGGTGGAATGGGTAAATCAGGATGTGGGTAGGTTCCTGCGGTCCTACTGCTAGGACCGGCCGGGGGAGTGGTCGGTGTTCTTGCCATGGGCCGAATATGCCCAGAACTCTCTCAGTCACTCCTCCACTAACCTAACGCCATTCCAATGTGTTTTAGGTTACCAACCGGTTCTGGCACCGTGGCACCAGAGCCTGACCAAGGCTCCTGCGGTGGATGACTGGTTTCGGCATGCGGAGGAGACGTGGGACGCTGCCCACATCCACCTTCAACGCGCCGTGCGTCGTCAGAAGGCCAACGCTGACCGCCACCGCAGTGAGGCCCCGGTCTTCGTACCAGGTGATCGGGTCTGGTTCTTGACCCAGAATCTGCCCCTCCGCCTGCCCTTCCGGAAGCTGAGCCCGCGGTTACCTATAGGTTATTACTCCCCCATGATTACCGTATTAACCCCTCGTTTCATGTGTCTCTCCTCAGGCCGGTGGTGGCTGGTCCGCTCCAGGAGTCTGAGGTGCGGGAGGTCCCGCCGCCTCCTCTGGACATCGAGGGGGCCACGGCGTACCTCGTCCGTTCCATCTTGGATTCGCGGCGTCGGGTGGGGGGCCTTCAGTACCTCGAGGGGTACGGTCCGGAGGAACAGTGCTGGGTCCCGGTGAGGGATATCCTCGATCCCTCCCTGGTGTGGGATTTCCACCGTCGCCATCCGGCTCACCCTGCTCTGCGTCCTAATGGCCGTCCCCGGGTCGGCACGCTGCTGGAGCTGCACGTCAAGGGTGGGGGGGGGGGGGGGGTACTGTCACGAAGCTGCCTCCCCTCCTTGTTCGGACAGGCTTCGGCGTTCGTTGTCACCGGCCTACTAGCCACTGCCGCTCCATATCTCATCATTCCATTTGTCTTGTCTTGTCAATTACACACACCTGGTTCTTATTCCCCTCATTAGTATGTGTTTAAGTGTTCCCTCTGCCCCTTTGTCCTTGTGGTTGATTGTTGCATGTGAGATGATTGGAGCTCGGTGGAGCTACCTGTACTTTGTATTGCTGGGGTATATTTTCCCCGTGTGCCTGTATTTGTTGTTGACGTAACCGTGTACTACGGAATAAACTCTGTATTCTTTGATTTACCCTCCTGCGCCTGACTCCTTCAAATCACACTCTCACAAACGTGTATGGTTGGCTATTACATACTGCAGTGGAATCTAATTACATTACCAATAATTGAGTACATCCTGTTTTATAACCCACTGTTATCCCTGTCTTGAGCTTGGGCCAAAACTAGGTTGTTGCATGCAGGGACACATTGGTTGTGTTGCCCTGCTCAGACGTTGCATGCATCAACTAATGGTTGTGTGCCACATCATAGACTTTGCCGTTGGGCACCAGATTGCTATAACATATGATATGGTTAGCTGATACGTAAAATACCTATGTAGGCGTTGTAAGATCTGGCATGCGTCAGCAACGTCTGAGCAGAGGAAAACGACCATTATGGCACCCATCTGGCTATGTGTGGTCGATGGGGTCAGACAGGACGGTGGAAGAAGGGCTCTGTTTCAGACACGCTCCATTCTGACCCTGAGCCTAACCCCTGGCGTTTCTGGACAAACACCACCACCACGATCAGCACCCAGAAGAAGAAGTTCACCCACACAGACTTCTGGGAATGACAAAAGAAGAAAACAGAGATGAAGAATAAAATATTTAAATAAATAAATAACAATGACAACACATGGACTATAAAAAAGTATCTGTGGTTTTGAAGCAGCTTGTGGTCTGATAAGGCAATAACGTTTTGATGTGTTAGTTAATATTATTATATGCACAGTGTCAGGACAGACCTCTGCATCATACAAGCCTGTGTAGAACTGATTTCCATCGTAGGGACTGACCCAGGTTTTATTCTCGGCTTCTTCACAACTGAAATGAAAGAAGTCCTCCAAATGAACAAGAACAGCATACAATATTTCACATTTCACATACAGTATGAGAAAAAGGAGGGTACTGAGCAAAGAGGTGATATGGGAGAAGACAGAACAAAAAACGCAACCCTCTCACCTGGTTATGGAGGGCACATTGTGGAGGGCAGACAGACAGAGGCGGTCCCTGCCGATCCTCAGGGTACATCCTGACACCGCCAGGAAAAACAATATCTTCATACACACCCCCAGAGTCACATTCAGCCATAGTCTTTCCCTGGGGGTGCAGGACAGGAAGTAAAGAAATACAAGTAAAGAAAGTCAACAACAAACAAATCAAATAATTTCTGCTTTGATGCCACACTACTGGGCATGGAAATCGAGATGATTAACACAATTGCTGGGCAATAGAGTCTGTCTCTCACCTCTTGACCTCCTCTTCCACACAACTGGTGTAGATCCAGTAGAGGGTGAGGGAGAGGCAGTAGACGGCAACAGATACAGAGATGGCTGACACAAAGTAGCAGAGGGAGGGATGGCTGGGGCTCTCCAGGACCAGGCCAGATGTGTTGTACTCAACAGTCCCATAAAGAATGCACTGGCCTGTAAAGTGGCCCTGCATGACACACACATAATACAGATGCATTCAGTATAACTATACAATGTATCCTACTGTATGCAATTGAAAGGATGTAATGCACTTTACACAACCTATAACAATGGAAAGTATCTTCACTGGACATTAACAGCAAGAGAGCTTGGTCAGCTGTGGCGAGATACACACGCTCTCAAATTAAACATCCCTTAATAGGCAGCTGCACAGAGCCTGTCTGTCACACACAGACTTCACTGTGTTTCCTGGCCTGGATAGGGATGCACAGGCGAGCTTAATTCAACTTGAAATGGAATGCTTGAGAAATTCCATTCATCCATTCATGTGCACAAATGTATAGCTATATTCTTTTAGGACATTAGATGATGATTATATGGTGCCACTGGGCCATGTGAAACAGCAGGGAGGACTCTGAATGTAGAACTCATGTTTCATTTTCCTGTCTCTCAACACATTTCATTTCAAACAGTCATTGCCATCTGTATCAAAATCCCACATGAAAAATACTGTAGTATACTGTAGTATTACTATATTTATATATAGTAATATATATATCATATATATCGTCTCGGGCCTAACAACACCCGTGCCAATATATCCTCCAAACACCGGCTTCTCGTGCATTATCACTTAACTATAATACGCACTGCAGTGTTTTTGTTTTATTCTCTTTTTTATTCTCTTTTTTTTTGGGAGGGGGGCTTTCTCCTTGAGGAATCTTACTGAACAACACTAAAATAGCAAATGTCCATAACCTGTATTTAGGTAGGACAGTGTTCTGCACGGTTATGTTCAGGACTTCTGCTCTTTTCCATAACCTGTAGGGAACACAATATATGGTATATACTTGGCATGTAGGTTTTTCAGTCATGAGTGGCACAAAATTCAATAATAAGAACTACACGATCGAAGGAAACTACAGTGTGTAGTATAGTATTCTACAGTATACTACAAAATTATGTAGTTAGCACTACACGATCGAGGGATACTACAGAGTGCAGTATAGTATTCTACAGTATACTACAAAATTCTGTAGTAAGTACAACACACAATCGAGGGATACTACAGAGTGCAGTATAGTATTCTACAGTATACTACATTTCTATAGTTAGTACAGTATTTTTATGTGGAATGGTAACCTAATCTATTGCAAAGTCACTGTATTGCAACAATTTTGCATTTAGGTGAAGTCCACTAAGACATTGTATACGCCTGTAGGCCTAGTGGAGAGTCATAAATGATATTCCCTGACTTCACATGATTATCTCTGCTGATTTAATTTATTAATAAATAATTTCTCATTATTTGCTCCTAGGCTAGCCCCCATGTTTTGGGTTGTGTTACAAATTCTGAGATTAAAGCAGATAAAGACAACATAATATGGGAGAAAGTTTCTTTAAAATCTGATAAAATCTTCCATAATGGATGTAGCACCCAAAAGTTTGACCCATTGTTGAGAGGACGATAAAAACCTATCCAATGTACAGTATGCTAGACACCTAGCAGTTTACCAATAGCCTAGTGTCGGTTTGAGGAGAGCGACAGTAGACAGTAGCCTAGGCTGTGTGGAAATGTTGTCAATAAATGTCTATTGATAATTTTTTTTGTTATACAGGGATAAAAAGAGTGCTCAAGTTTAGAATGTATCATATGCAGTTGAAAGTTCCGACATTTCAAACATGAATGCATTCGTACCTGGGTGATTGTCAGCGAGGCAGCGGACATTATTCCACAGATGAAACAGCCTGCGTAAAGTACGAGCTCCAAAACGAGCAGCCACGGCAACGCCATCACGAACACCTCTGCAAAGCCATCCTATGATACCCATCGAGGACACTCTAGCACCCGGACAACGCACTCGGTTCCAAGCGTGTTTACTTGTGCGTAAAGGTTTACAATGGAGACACTCGTAACTGCGAGCTCCGACTTTTTTTTTTGCAACAATGTACCCTTTCACGCGTTTTGTTAATTGTAAACCCCAATTGAATATGGCCAAGGAATGCAATGCATTTATTAGAATTGGTTGATTGTAAGATTGGGATGGAATGCTTTATGACTATCTAACAATGTTGTTGTCTTATTAGATGTGAGTCCCGACTCCCGACGACTCCACCAGGATTCCCTATAACCATAATCCAGTTTAGAATTCCATGCACAGAAATGCAAAGCCAATTTTTGCCTCTTGTATTGTTCTCCTCTGAGAGACTGGAAACTGTGTGTGTGTGTGTGTGTGTGTGTGTGTGTGTGTGTGTGTGTGTGTGCATTATCAGCAGTAGCTGTTGTCTGTCTCTGGAGGTTTGTGATTAATTAGTAAGTGTTCCCGAGTGATGACAGAACATCTTTCAGCAGAACATTTTTTTTCTTTGCTGATTTGCTAAATGAAGCTACTGTTTAACTACTGTTTTAAGCTACTAATTTTAATCCCAAAAATGTTTCTTCCAAGTAAAATTTAAAATATATATAGACACCTTAACTTCATACTAATGTTCTGTTTTCCACAATGTAGCCTAAACCTGAGCGACCGGGAGGTGGATGTCTCAGACATTTCATATCCGCTGTGCAGCAAAAGAATGAAACGAACAAATAACAGGAGATCAAATCAAAGCCCCTGCTTAGATTAGCAACAGTGGGGGTTGAACGGATGGGTGAGGTTATGGGCTTTGATACTTGAAAGACTTCCCACTGGGCACTCCACGTAATTTCAACGTGGAAATGTGTGTAATTTTAGGTTGAGACGTTGACCAAAGCTTGAAACCCTAGACCTACAGTGCTATGAAAAAGTATTTGCCCCCTTTCTAATTTTCTCTTCTTTTGCATATTTGTGATACTGAATGTTATCAGATCTTCAACCAAAACCTAATATTAGATAAAGGGAACATAAGTGGACAAATAACACAACAATTACATATTTATTTCATTTATTTCAACACCCAATTCCCCTGTGTGAAAAAGTAATTGCCCCCTTACACTCAATAACTGGTTGTGCCACCTTTAGTTGCAATGACTCCAACCAAATGCTTCCTGTAGTTGTTGATCAGTCTCTCACGTCACTGTGGAGGAATTTTGGCCCACTCTTCCATGCAGAACTGCTTTAACTCAGTGACGTGTGGGTTTTCAAGCATGAACTGCTCGTTTCAAGTCCTGCCACAACATCTCAATTGGGATTAGGTCTGGACTTTGACTAGGCCATTCATTCCAAAACTTCCAATGTGTTGCTTTTTAGCAATTTTCATGTAGACTTGATTGTGTGTTTTGGATCATTGTCTTGCTGCATGACCCAGCTGCGCTTTAGCTTCAGCTCACAGACGGATGGTCTGACATTCTCCTGTAGAATTATCTGATACAGAGCAGAATGCATGGTTCCTTCTATTAAGGCAAGTCGTCCAGGTCCTGAGGCAGCAAAGCGTCCCCAAACCATCACACCACCACCACCATGCTTGACCTTTGGTATGATGTTCTTACTGTGGAATGCAGAGTTTGGTTTTCGCCAGGCATTACTGGAACCATGTCGTCCAAAAAGTTATACTTTTGAATCATCTGTCCATAGAACGTTCTTGCAAGTCTTGATGATCATCCAGGTGCTTTTTGGCAAACTTGAGTCAACTTTTTGGACGAGATGGGTCCCATTACGTATATATATGTGTGTGTATATACATTTACATTTTACATTTTTAGTCATTTAGCAGACGCTCTTATCCAGAGCGACTTACAGGAGCAATTAGGGTTAAGTGCCTTGCTCAAGGGCACATCGACAGATTTTTCACCTAGTCGGCTCGGAGATTAGAACCAGCGACCTTTCGGTTACTGACACAACGCTCTTAACCACTAAGCTACCTGCTTATATGTGTGTATATATATATATATATATATATATATATATATATATATATATATATATGCGAGAGAAAAAAAACATGGGGGATGGAAGTGATGCAGACAATTACATTGATGGAAGTTACAATCTATCTGCAATATTAAAGCTGATCTACCCCCTAAATAATAAAATAAAATAAAAATAAAAAAACATCAACAATCATAAGGAGTTATCCTTAGGCATTAGATAAACATGTATGAAGAGAGCTGTACAAGGCAAGACCTAAAAAACACCAGCATATGAAGAGAACTGTGCAAGACAAAAACACCAAGAGTTATGCTTAGATAATAAGGTAGAGCTGACAGAGAGAGCTTTACAAGGCACAAAATATAAGAACTATTTAAAAACACTAAGTATTAGGCCCACGAGCCTAGATACCACATACAGTAGATGAACATATTTGGAGCACAGAGTTAGTCTGCCTGACTGGAACTCATATACTATCCTTGGCAGCATATGTGTGAAATAAAATGCCTTCAGTTTAGGGATAACATCAGCACAGAACTTCACATTAAAAGGCACATCAATAACAACCTGCTCGGATGAAGCCCAGACACGGAGTATGTATCTCTCCAGTCCTGTGCAGAACATGCCCATTTGCACCTGCATGTAGTACCCATGGGCTCCATTAGGTTGCAGCTGAGGAAGACCATCCACCAGCTTTACATCGGTGAGTTTGCCAGAGAACCGTTCAGTCAGAGACTCACACTTCTTACTCAGAACAGGACATTTTATTTCTAGAAGTTCTTGAGAGTTAACACTATGTCTGGGCTTGCAGAAAGCCATGGCTCCTTGACACTCACTACTGTGCCTCTACTCTCCAGACTAAACCTACATCTCTCCATCCATGTGTAGACCACCTGCTCGTTCTCCTTACCATATGTGGTTCCCATGGAACCTGGGGAAGAGATGCTCCCACACAAAGTTGTCGGGATTTGTTGAGGTGCGCACAGGAACCTTCTTTGCTGAGCTAGCAGTGATCCGAAGTTTCTGTGCGTCATCCCACGCATGGGAGGAAGTGGAACATTTACACTCCTCCAGCTTAACATAAATGTCATAAAATGACAAGAATTGTTGATGCCGTGTTCACCATGAGGCTGCTTTAGCTGTGTGGCTGCTGCTGGAACTTGATGACTGGTTGGCTTGAGGCACTTGTGCAGAAGGCTTCCCAATGGAACATTGGCCCCTTCCAAACTCTTCTTAAGTGCGTTGTAGGAGTGGTAAGCAGGAGTTGGAGGTAGAGATGGAGAAGCGGCTGGGGTGCTGTCAGAGAACTCGTCACTTGGTTTGTGACGTTTTAAACAGATCTCGCTCAACCTTTTTGGAGCTAAATTCCACTGCTCCCCCGAGTTCCACTGGCATTGCTCATCTGTACAGGATACCCCTGTCAATCCTCCATACACAGCATTCTGCACCTTCAACAAAAAACTACTGTTAGAATAGTCAATTACAGTACAGAACACTAGTTTACATGGTGTTCACAGTTGACTCGTTTCTGATACTTCCGAACTTTGTCGCTGTAGAGGTATTGATATGCCTCTGTGCTTTTGTAGCTCCTCATCTCTGACCCATCCACAACGAGAGACAAGACAAAATAATTGAAGATGTCTTCGTAGGTGATATGTGGCCATTTTTCTTCCTCTTCCTCTTCTTCAATGAGGTTTAACGGCGGTTGGCATCCAATTTGTTGCATTAACGCCACCTACTAGACTGGAGTACAACTCCCTTATCTTTTCTTGAAAAATAAAATAAAACAAAGCAAAGAAATATCCTACCATCTAACACTACACTCACAACTTCAAAACTACTAATAATAATTAACCCAACCCTTCTCCACTATTTAAATATACTCACTCCTACCTCATGCCCTCAACCTGAAATGATGGGACATCACCACTTAACACTCCCTGTAACTCTTCTGCTGTCAAGTCTCACACACCCAAATATCTCTCTTCGATTTGCGTTCCATCCCTGCAGTACAATTAATAACTATTGCTATAAACGCTAAAAACCCAATCTTACTGAAACATATATCACTTGCTTGCCTATCCCACTGTACTGGTATATATCTCCTACTCTCACCACTCCCCCCCTTGACCCCTCTTCCTCTACTTTCTTCACTGCCTCCGCATATGACAACTTCTTCTCTACTCTTACCCTGGAAACCTCAACCTGCTTCTCTCGCACTGGACATGTCTGATCCCCAGCCCCATGGCCACCCCTACAATTAGCACATACCACTACTTTCCCCACTGCTTCACACTCCTTAGTCTCATGCCCTTCTGCACACTTCTCACACCTTGGAATCTCCCTCCTACATACTGCTGCCACATGCCCATAAGTTTGACACCTGTAACATCGTAACGTACTCGGCACATACGTTCGCACAGGATAACTTATATATCCTAACTTCACTTTATCCGGCAAAGACTCAACTTCAAAACTCAAAAGAACAGACAATGACTCTTCTGTTTCCCCACTCTCGCCACCCTGTTTACATCGCACCAAACGACGAGCATCACACACACCGGGAATCTTCTCCTTCAGTTGATCCACTTTTACATTTGCTTCTACCCCAGTAATCACTCCTCTCAATGGCACCCTTTTCCTAAGAGCGAAACAATTCACAATTCTTTCCCCCATTTGTTTAACTCTGAGCGCCTTCTCCCTCTGCCCAACAGAAACACAAACAATTATCACTAGACCACTTCTGGTTACCCTCACCGATTCCACTATACACAACGCTTTTTTCACCCATCTTGAAACCACAAATGGATCAGCCAAAAGGCAAGGATCCACTTTTTCCACAAACGTCACTCCTACTGTCACAGACTCATCTTTATCCTGACCCTCTGTGCAAGCCTCTGGCTCTGAGCACTTCACCACACCTACCACCTCCGATACTTCACCCTCTTCCATTTCTACTCCTATCTTCAGCTCACTTTGCTTACATTTCCTACCACTCTTCTTCAACAAACCTTCTCCCTTTTTCCCT